TCATATTTGGCCTTTACTGGAGTCAGGTAAATCCTGGAATCACTCCAGTTGCTTGACAGGTTTGGGACAATGCATCCATGTACTGTAATCCTAAAGAACAATCTCCTTTAAAAACAGATGGGCTAAACAAGAGGAGATGGCTGTAGTAAGACCAAATAGTTGGGATTCCTGGAAGTTTCTTTTCTTTCATGTGTACATTTTTGCTTTATTTCAGGACACCTTTGCATTGTGCTGCTTCTTGCAATAGTGTTCATCTCTGTAAACTGCTGGTGGAATCCGGAGCGGCTATTTTTGCTTCAACTATAAGCGATATCGAAACAGCTGCAGACAAGTGTGAGGAGATGGAAGAAGGTTACATTCAGTGCTCCCAGTTCCTCTATGGTAAGCTGTGACACAACCTCACAAACCCTTTTAGCTTTTCTAAAATTCATCCCATTTTGTGTCTCTGATCTGTACGAAACATCTGCTTAGGCTCAGACTTGACCATACTGTCCATCACCTCCCTCTCCTTTCCAAATGCCAACAACAGAATATTCTTTTCATTATTACGTTGCTTATAGCCCTTCTCTGAGTTACTTCAAAGTCCTTCTATTTTTACAGATTTTTACAGTTTAATTTGGCTTAGTTTCAAGGAAATGCTTCCACAGAGAGGTTTGGACAGTAACAGTGAGCTGTCAAGCATCTTGACAGAGATACTCCAGCTTCCAGATGGACACATTCCTAGCAGCAAACATGAAGAAACACCCTTTATGAATTACTGACTTGCAGGATGCATTCAGTTACTAAGATACATTTGGCAAGAAAGTGTCTTGATGGAGCAGACAAATTTTTCATTTACATGAGAGAACATAAGCATCATTAATGGTCTATAGACCTGACATAGTGCAGGTTTTCAAAGGCTTCAGCTGTAACTGGCTAAGGCTGCTGTAGAAAGCAAGGCCCGTGAGAAAAATGCAGCAGTTCTGTAAAGCTGCTTTGCTCAAACATTTGTAAAACTATTTTTATCGCCAGTTGAATAAAAGATTGTAAAGTTTCCATTGCATATATAATAATAGAAAAACCTCGTGCTCTAAATTGGCTTAAAATATTTTATAAAATTTGTTTTTATCACGTAGTTAAATTTCTGAAAGCATTTCATCATGGAAGCGCTGATAACTGTTCATGAAATGTTACTAGTAAAAGGCTACTCTTTGGGCCACCATGTCCATACTAAAAGTCTCAGAGGAGAAAATAGGATATTTTAGCATCGAGGGGGTTCTCTGATTTGCTGTTAACAGGAGTGCAGGAGAAGTTGGGGGTGATGAATAAAGGAGTGGTGTATGCCCTGTGGGACTACGAAGCCCAGAACAACGATGAGCTGTCGTTCCACGAGGGCGATGCCATCACCATTCTGAGACGCAAGGACGACAACGAGACGGAGTGGTGGTGGGCCCGCCTCAACGATAAGGAAGGCTACGTGCCTAAAAACCTTCTGGGGGTAAGTTCTTTTAAAGTTTCCCTCTCTTTTCTGCTTTTTATGTCCTCTGCAGTAGGAACAGAAGATGGGGCTTTGGTCAGAATCTCTCTGTGCATCACCTGGATGCGCTGCAGGAAGTGCTGCAAAGCAAATGACCCTTATTCTCTCTGGCCTCTGTCATCACCAACAACAGGAGAGGCTGTGGGTGGGAGATCTGGGCTGTTAATTATTTTGTTTAATATATTTTATGCTTTAATCTTGAAGACTTTTTTCCCCCCTTGGCTAAACTATAGGGCCCCTGATTAAAGTGTAGTGGCTCTGAGCAGCAAAAAGCTTTTTAGGAAGTTTTTTTTGAAGGTTTTTAATACCTGGCCCAAGTTAAGCAACATATAGATATGTACAAATTTTAAACCAGCAAAAAAGCCTTGAAGGTGACAACTTTAGCCAAGTTGTTGATGCTGCTCTCAGTCAAATGGGACCCTGCTGTCACTAGAGACCAGGGATGATGACAAACTGCGTAGGAAAACCTGAGAGAGCAGGAAATAAGCTCTCTGGAGCATGACAGGAAATTCTTGTATTCACATTAAAGTATCCTTTGGTCTGGTCTGGGCTCTTGAGCAAAATGAACCGAGTCATTTCCAGAGCAGCGCTTTTGCTGCTGTGGGCTCTTGTCAGCTCTTGGCACCCCTGCTCCTTCTGGCTTCATTTTTCTGAAGTTACCTAAGAACATGCTGTAGCCAACAACAACCTCACCCCCAAAAACACTTCATCCCCCAATTCCTGTTAATAAGCACCCCTTGGTTATAACGGAATTGATTTATATTTAACTTGGTACCCACCATGCAAAGCCTAATAATTTTTATTCTGTTTTTACAGTTATATCCACGAATAAAACCCAGGCAGCGAACCCTCGCTTGAATTCAGTTGTACAACGGTGTGATTCCGTGCTGGTAACTGGAAACTTCAAACATACACTGGAGCCATCATTTTTTGATCATTTCACACAGAGAAATAAAACTATGCTCTTTAGTTTTAATGGTGCTTTCTCTCGTTAAATGGACAGCATCCGAGATTTTCAAGATCTGCAGTTTGTAAAAGAGGATGGTTTTTATGTGACCCACCACTGATGAGGAGAGCGATACCTCCGCTACCTGCAGTGTTGCACCAGCTCTCGTCTCCAGCAGTGTTTTAAAGTTCCATGGTAGGAGCTTTCTTGTGTTCAATGTTCAGAGGCGTCGCTCACGGGGTGCAGGTAACGCTGTCCCCTTTGCTCCGACCCCACAGTCACTGTCCCACGTCAGGATTTTGGATATTCTGTTCGATACCAGTGAACGTTGAGTTCTCGTTACTGCTCAGCTCTTTGGGTTCTAGGTCACGAGGTCTTCACCTATTACATGCATAATTAAGTAGCCACCAAAGCTTTACGAAGGCTAGGATTTTAAGGGGTAACGTGCTGTACACTTAAATCCTAGTCTAGACAACCCCAACAAAAGCTTTACATAGTCTAGTATTATTTACGTTTAGAGTCAAGCTAGAGAACTAACAAAACAAACAGTATTTGTACACTTCTCAAAAACCCCTACACAAATATTTCACTGGGTGTTTTATTTTCTTATTATTCAGCCTATGGCACCAGTGTTACCTCTGCTAATGTAAAGGTTCCCCTACTAACGGCCCGGGCTTGTCCCCTGTGGACAGAACAGCCAGTACTGAACTTGCAGCAGCAGCAGCTTAAAGGATTCCGTACGTCTGCGTGGATGAAAGTGCAATAGTTGAGAAGGGTGAGAGTGGGGTGAGGGTTACACCCTGGCATTTGAAGCCTGAGTCAGTCTAGGAGAAAATTAGGAAGGACTGGGTAGAAGTAGGAAGAGGCTGGGGTAGATGCTAAGTCAAGGAGAAGAGAGAAACGAGGTTGAGGAAAGGATTGGAGAAAGGCAATAGCTTATTTGAGGACAGTTTCTGTGGTTCTTGGCAGCCTCCATCTGTTGCCAAGGCAAGTTATGCAATAACCTATCCCACTACATCGCCGTTTCAAGGAAAATACAAAGCACTTCACTGGAATTTTAATTGTACATGATTTTATATACCAAAAGAATATTTTGAATTTCCCATTATAAGTTTTAGCCACGTTTCTTGTAATTTTTCTCCCATTTAACAGTATGCAATTTGATTAATTCTTCATGTACAAGTTCTGTGTATAATTTATATATCCATTTCTGCAGTGCTGTAACTTGCTTTTACCACAGGTTAGCATTAACTGTATATATTGTGGTGAAAAGTGAAAGGGTATTATTGTTGAAGAATTTGCTACATGAATGTGATGATTTCAAGAGCCTATGATACACTAATTCAGAGAAGATGTAAATGTGCACAATAAAGTACTGCTAAGGCACGGCGGCTGCATTCTCCACTATTTTAAAGAGGTAGCAACAGCAGACAAGCCTCTGGTCACAATCTACAAAAAAAGACTAATTCCAGCTTGCTGCATTTTATCTGTTAACTCCAGTTTCCTCCTCCTTTTACCAGCTGCACAGAAACATGACTTGCCAAACAATTATGGAACCTTCTTACCCCAATGTTCCAGCTGTGGCAAATTAGTACTTGTCTAGAAAAGCTCTCAAAGGGTGCCCTGCACCCCCAGGTGGCCACCCCAGCCTTGGGTGCTGCTTTACTTGGCTTCTACCAGCGTCAGCAGAGGGAGAGCAGACACACACCTGGCTCAGTCGTGTGGCCAGAGGATCCTGCCCAAGCTGAACCCGTTAACAACACTTAGAACTAAAATTAAAAATAAAAAGTCAAGAGTTTCAGAGCTTCAGAGAGTCAAGACCACAGTGTCCATCATTAAACAGGTTATATATTGTGAAATTATCACTTCATTATGCTCTTTTTTTTAAATAAGTGAATTAATTTATTCATATTTGTACATTAAATTGTATACAATTTCAGATAGCGTTACAGTTAGATTAACAAAAGCTTGTTACCAAAAAGAAAATACAAAACTAAAAATTATTCTGGAAGCTTATTTATTACAGAAGGAAAGTTTCAAGATCGTGTTCGTGTAAGTCCAATTTGGTGCTATTTGGTGAAATATTTAAAATGAAATGCTTTTAAAAATCAAGTGAATTCTATAAAATCATATCTAAGGCAGATATTATTGTACATTGATTTTTAAACATTTGGATAGAGGGAAAAACCTGAGATCTATACCCAAAAGCTATTCTCTGCAGAAGAGACATACACATTTGTTTGCTTTCTGTAGCAAACGATATAGAATTGTTACTATAAAAGTTGTGCTGTACATTAGCTGTAGTGCAGGTCACTTTCATATTAAGTGCCAATAAAAGGCTTAACAAAATATACAAAGTCTTAAAAGGTGAGGCTGTTTAAAGCATTAATTGTATACATATTGCACACTATAGTGAATACTCATGGTTTGAAAAAAATACTCACGTTGCATTTGCCAGTTCTTTTATAGCCAACCACACGGGAATGAGAGGGTCAAGAACAGCAAATGTCACCAGCTGTAGAATTAGTGAGAGGCAGCTCCACCAGGTCTGGTGGCTTCCCTTAAGCGGCCAACAGTTTGCTGGTCTTACTGGTCCCGGGACTCGTAAAGAAGTTTTGTTGCCTAACGTGAAGACAAAACATCATTGTATTAACTGAAGTTTCACCTCAGCTCCTTCCAACCCCCCAACATTTCCTTTAATGAACCCAAAGCTTTAAGCACCTCCTCTGCTTTTTTCATTAGTTTAAAGCATTTAATAGCATTCTGTAATTTTTTGAAGCTATTCAACCTGAGGTCACTGATGATTTTAGATCAACTTTTGTTTCTTCTTGGTCAGAAGTGACCACTTTTGATAAAAACTGCCTTTGAAAAAGTCAGCAGTAATATTATGTCTGAGATCTTGGTAATCTGGCTGATCATATGCAGAAACATGTTATTCTGTCCTATATTCCTCCTACCTCTTCTGCCTCCCCCTTGCACAGTTTTCCTGAGCTGTTCTACTTGTCTCCACCTACAGGATCAGCCAACCCCTCCCATGGGAACAGCTGCGTGGTCTCTACCAACAAGCCCTGTTAGGTGCTGTTAAACTGGCACCTCTGAAAAACCTCACTGCACTGATGGGTTACTCACAACTGAGCTAAACTCCTGTCAGAGGAGACAAAACAGGAGGGGGAGGACATTAAATTCATCCAAAACATATGGGTTCTCCCCGTACTGTAGGAGTTGCTTGTGAAAGATGAATTAGAACAAGTGAGGAAGCGCTGAATTGAGCTCACGGGGCAATACACAGGCTGAGTGTGCTGGGCTCAGCACGAGTTAAACGCTGGGGTTGGGGGCCTGGGGGGCTTAACAGCAGTGATAAAGCAGCAAACAGCTACACTTGTGTTTGCAGACACCTTATAAATTACAGTCCTAATTAATAATTGATAAGAGGCACAAAGTCCCAGAACTAGTCGGGGTGGTTTTGATTTTTGCCTCCCATCGCTTTGCCTTATGAAGTAAACAAAAGATGAAAGAGTCTTCCACAGGGACCTGCTTCCCCCTCCTTGTTCCTTCAGCAGCTTCTCCGAATTTTCATGAAGTGATAAAACAATTAGCTGAGGTTTTGTTCAAGAGAATGAGTTCAGTGAGTAACAAAACCTAGGGACCTTGAAAGTGGAATTCCTGTCTGCTTTTCACCCAAGGACATACAGGAGATCTTGGGGAACCCTTTCTAGTGCCTGGCTGCTTTGGGTACCTGAGCATAAAGCTCAAGTCACTTTCACAATAACCATCCACAGCTTCTGTTTTCTTAAGCAACTAAAATCCTTAAGGGAAAGACTCCTGCGGCCGCATGCTCCCTTCAGAGAGTATTTCACAGAATCACAGAATCTTCTAGGTTGGAAGGGACCTTAAAGATCATCTTGTCCAACCATCAACCTAACTGACAAAAATAGACACCCACACAACAAACACGGAACAGCATCACTAAACCATACCTCCCAGCACTACATCAACCCGTCTTTTGAACACCTCCAGGGATGGTGCCTCAACCCCCTCCCTGGGCAGCCCATTCCAATGTCTGATAACCCTTTCAGTGAAAAACTTTTTCCTAATATCCAGCCTGAACCTCCCCTGGGGCAACTTGATGGCATTTCCTCTTGTCCTGTCGCCTGTGACTTGAGAAAAGAGATCGACCCCCATCTCTCTACACCCTCCTTTCAGGTAGTTGTAGAGAGCAATAAGGGCTCCCCTCAGCCTCCTCTTCTCCAGGCTGAATAACCCCAGTTCCCTCAGCCTCTCCTCATAAGACTTATTCTCCAGACCCCTCACCATCTTTGTCGCCCTTCTCTGGACCCGCTCCAGCACCTCAATGTCTTTTTTATGGTAGGGGGCCCCATGTTATGGTATTTCCCCCATGTAAAGATTTTCTTCAGTGCTCTTAAGTTTTGCCTCCTTTGCTTACCTTGTGCATAGCTGCCAGCCAGCTCGCCGACAGCTTCTTGTTACAGCTGAAGTCTTCGCTGGCCGTAAATTTCATCTGCGTGAGCTCCTCTGATCCCGGTACCTTGTACTGCAGAATCATCCCGATGGCACGAGTGTTACCTCCTGAGAAAAGAAACAGGAACTTAAACAGCAACAGGTTTTAACCATCCTTCTAGTTAATGAGCACGTTTGAAGAAAACTCTCTCATCACTTAATTCAAAGCGCTAACGACTGCAGGAGCACAAACAACTGCCACATCAGAGGAGGTGGTGACCACGGGGGTTAATGCTGGGCAGTGGAATGTGCAGTCAATGGTGTTTAATTCTCTCTGTCACTGAGGCAGCACTCCTGTGTAGGAGCCATCACATAAAGCCACGCCACACACCCTAAGGATACAGAATCACAGAATCTTCTAGGGTGGAAGGGACCTTAAAGATCATCTTGTCCAACCGTCAACCTAACTGACAAAAATAGACACCCGCACAACAAACAAGGAGCATCATCACTAAACCATACCTCCCAGCACCATACCCTCCTGTGTCAATATTACAATGTCCTCTCTTAAGCAGATGCCACAATTTCACACTGTAGCCTGCAAATTCTAAACCAAATTACTGGTGTCCAACCAGACCCATATCGGGGGGGCCCTGCTGGACACACAGCCTGGCAGAGCAGGCACAGCTCCTCCCAAAGGGTGGAGGGTGGGAAAGATGCTTCTGGCAGGACCAGATGACAACTGGTGATGTCATTTACTTCCTGAGGGAAATCCGACACAAAAGACGTTGCTCTGGCAACAGTTTGATAGCGAGAGGTTTGTGTATCTTTTTACTCCGGTTGCAGAGAGATTAAGATAAACGAAAGCAAAAATACAGAAATGAATCAAAAGGTTTGTTTAGAACGCCACGCTCCATCGGCGTTACTTCCTGAAGCAGCAGAGCATAAACTAAGCCCCAGGAACAGCACCACTGGACACAAAAGGATGCTTTTGGCAATGGTCTTTTTTTAAAAAAAAAAATAAATCTGCATTTGGGTGCTCCTGGGGGCCATTACTGTAACATCCAAGAAGCCAAAGACACCTCAGTCTGAGCAACCCCACCAAAGCCCCCGAGCAGGGTTTACAGAAGTTGTTCCTCCTGTAGGAGAAACTGAAATCCAGCTTCATCCCTCACTCCCCAGCATCTCCCTGGTCAGACCAGCAGATTAAGGGACTACTCAAAGATCAACCAGTGGAAATCAGACACCTACAGCCATGACCAGTTTGCTCATGTTTGACTCTCCAGGACAGTGCCGAGTAGCACACCTTGTACAACAAGGGGTAGTTTTTCTTTTAAAGATGTGTAAAAGCAAACTATTAATTAACATCTAAATTATTCAGTGCAAAGCCTTACTGGACAGTACACAAGAAGCATATTATTCATGTCTGGTGTACTCAGGTCAGCACCCTCTGATGAAGCAGGGGATGTCTAATCCTATGTACCACTAAAAAGACTTATTTCTCCTCTTCCCTTCTCTCTTCTAGCACAGACAGTAGCACACGTGGTCTAAAGGAGGCATTGAGTGTTTTAGTTCTCAAAAAAAAACCTACAAAAACATTCACACTCAGTTTCAAACAGAGAGATGGGAAGGAATAGATACACGTCATCTTTGAAAATAACTTGAACATCTACAGATCACACAAAAAACCCCAGGAAGAAAGATGGGAGAGGGACCGTGACAACATGCTGAGGTGCGTCATGCTCAAAGGTACTGGTGATACCTTCAGTAATATGCTGGCTCTCCAGGAGGCTGGTGTAAGTGTGAATATCTTTTTCTACCATCAAGAAGGAAGGCAGGCAGGCAAAAAGATAAAGCAGTGAGAAGAGCAGTGAACAAAGAATTACAGGAGCATTAAGTAACTCAGCAACACATCTGGTTGATTTGAACACCGAGATAAGTTTATTAAAGCTAACATGCTGAACCAACTGAACACTGCACAGACAGGTTGGCCGATTAGAGATTTCCAGCAGTGACAAAGGTGTTGCTAAAGAACAATTATTAAAATTCCTGACCTTGTTTGTTCTCATTTCAGTGAAATCACATTCAAGTTCATCCTGAAATACTCTAAAATCTGGTAAGAGACGAGGCAGTAAGTAGCTGCCCTCTGATTCAGATGTTACCAGTTTCATTTGGCCACCCCTTTGTCTTAAATGAAATTAAGAAAGCATAGCTTAATTATCTTTTCCTCCACCCCCCATTATCTCTCTCACTCTCCTCACAACTCTTTGTACCAGTAGAAGAGAAATCCCAGCTGGATTCTGCAATGGAAGCTACCAAAGGCTAACAGGTCCCTCTTATGAGCTTTTGAATCACCAGATGTTTACATCTGGCCAAGAGAAAGGCTCAGAGCAGACAATGACCACCTTTACTCAGGTTTATGGAGCAGCTCTCCCATATTTTCTCCAATATGGGGAAAGGTCATTTCTCCAATTCTTAGGTTTTCCCCAAAATCCCAGTAGCCACACAAACAGAGCTCCACACACTGTACCCTCCTCTAGGAGCAGCTCTAACTGACATAGTTACACCTCAGTTACCAGAACCTAGAACTGCACTGTCTAGCTCAAACAGCAATTACAACATCACTTCTTTTTTCTCTTAATAGTTAATTTGTATTCAATGAAAAATTTACCTCCAGGAGTAAATCCCTCTGTAAGTATCTGAACAGTTGAAATCTGTATAATTTCAATTTCATAGTGACTGTCTCCATCCAAAACCAAATACCTACATAACAGAAGAAAAAGAAAAAAAAATTTTTTCTACAATAGCAAGTCCAAAATTTACCTCCAGGAGTAAATCCCTCTGTAAGTATCTGAACAGTTGAAATCTGTATAATTTCAATTTCATAGTGACTGTCTCCATCCAAAACCAAATACCTACATAACAGAAGAAAAAGAAAAAAAAAAAAATTTTTTTTCTACAATAGCAAGTCTAAATCAAATGAAAATTAAAACAACATAATCTCTCAGTGACTAGCTGTTTATACATTCTTTGGGGTGGGGAAGGAGAGAAATCAAGCAGGAAACGTTATTTTTCATTGAAGTTCTTCACTTAAAGGAAAAAGAAAACCAACACAGTTTGCCAGGAGACCCTTTCAAAAATATTAAAAATACTCTTCCAGAGTTCTGCGGTGAGAAGAGAACAGAGTCTAAAGTGTTGTAGCCAACCAAATGATAGGTAATGCTTTGGCTGTAACGTAAAACAATATGGTGCTGTGCTACAACTGTTCTGAAACAAGCTTTTATCAGTGGCTACAGACTTTTCCCTCCCTGTGATCCCCCATTAACCTGTAAAACCAGTGTGTTCCAGTGGCATTATCAGCACGTGGAGCTCCACCATTCTGAGGTGCTCTGATCCACACTACTTAGTGCATTCTAACAAACTTGCTACAGAGTCTAAAGTGTTGTAGCCAACCAAATGATAGGTAATGCTTTGGCTGTAACGTAAAACAATATGGTGCTGTGCTACAACTGTTCTGAAACAAGCTTTTATCAGTGGCTACAGACTTTTCCCTCCCTGTGATCCCCCATTAACCTGTAAAACCAGTGTGTTCCAGTGGCATTATCAGCACGTGGAGCTCCACCATTCTGAGGTGCTCTGATCCACACTACTTAGTGCATTCTAACAAACTTGCTCCAATAAAGTTCTATCTGTCTTTCCAGTCCGATTACTCTCTCCAATATCCTCATAGCAAGTTACTCTTATACTTTGTTTAGGTTATTAGATAATAATGTAGCTGTAAGTGCAATAATAATATAGTTTGCAATTGCAATTTCTATCAATCTCTCTCACCTCTGATTGTTGGAAAGTCGACAAACCATGAGCTCGGATTTATCAGATGTTCCCAGAGTTACAAAGAATGTAGCACCTGGAAAGAAATGTTTTAGCATTTGATTGTAGAGTTCATGAAAAAACATTCAAGTACCAAAAAGAATAACTAATTTTTACTCACTGCATCTAATACACTGATTTGTATGAATTAAGAGACTAATTGAAATATCCAACTGATGAACATCAGCAGAGCACTCAAGTATAAAAAGGTGATATTTAATTATTATGTTCTGAACCACAGGACCTTTGACAATTTAATTTCTCCCACACGTTGTAGAAATACAGATGATATCCAAGATGAATCTTTTAAAAACAATAACAGATTAGGAGATGGCAAAAATAGGCAATAGAAGTCCCTATCTTGCCACCATAATAAAAACTATTGTTTCAGTATTAAAAAAAAAAAAATTACAGAAGAACCTAGTAGCAGGATGTGACCTTCACGTCTTTGCTTAATAAACAGTAAAGACACCTCTTTTTCCTTACTGAAGGTTGGCTCAGGCTTACTTTGGGGTCAATGAACTTCACCCTTCATGCTATGTTTCTTCCTGCCCAAAACAACTCCTTTGACATCAGGAAAGTCATCTCAGCTACTTCAGTGAAGTGATTCATACCTTCAAATAAAGCAGACTACACGCCTAACCACTTTATTTCCTCCATGCCTCACGCTCCCTCTGTTACCTAATCTCAATACTGTTGGTCTGGGAAATGAAGAAAACAACAACCTACAGCCCTGCCAAACGGTCTGCAATCCATCTCCATCACTGAACCCCGCAGCCTCAGACCTCACTCTCTGTTGCACAATTTTAGAGTCTCCCTGACCCCTCGGTGCTGCTGTCCCAGGCTGCTGCTGAAGGGAGACAGAGAGGCAACAGCAGCAAAACCACGAAGGAGATCACAACCTCCATCTCTGACAGAGATCTGCAGCTCTACAGCAAGTCAGGAACAGCTTCAGACTTTAACTGCTAAGCACAAATGCAAGCAGGACTAGCTTTTCACAGAATCACAGAATCTTCTAGGTTGGAAGGGACCTTAAAGATCATCTTGTCCAACCGTCAACCTAACTGACAAAAATAGACACCCACACAACAAACAAGGAGCATCATCACTAAACCATACCTCCCAGCACTACATCAACCCGTCTTTTGAACACCAATGATCCCATTTTCAATGGGATCTGCAGTTTAAAATCCATTCCTAAACTCATTTACACCCTCACCTGCAAAGCAGAGCGAAGAATGATTTGTGTGTTACAGGGATGAGCATAGTCCTTTCCGAACCTAGAACCTCCCTTGGAGCATTCACGCCAGACATGTGGTTTAGCTCAGCAATTACAGACATTGGAATCATGCTGAGAGCCCATCCAAAGGCACTGAATAATCACAGAATATTTTAAAAACCTGAAGACTCAGCTTTCTTAATATAATTGGAACACGAATTACTGTATTGCATGTAGTTTTAATGCCACGCAAAATCGACCACTCATGATGATCTGCCATCAACTGTAGCTGTAGGCCACGGACAAGATTAAAGCTCATAGATGAAGCTTGAAACAAGTGCTGTGTTTTGTCAGAAAATATTAAAATATTCCCTATTGTTTAGTATTTTTCATCCTTATTTAAAGTAAAAAGAATACAGCTAAAAGATGGATTATTTTAAGGACAAAAAAAAAACAACTGCACTTCATACATCTGTTCTCGGAGGTGTTAAAAATTCTTGTGTGTTTAATTAAATGACTCCTTGTAAACACTGACTAAAAAGTGTAAACTTCTCTTTAAATTAAACAGATAACACAGAATTATTAACTAGCAAAAAAGAAGCACAACAACAAAAAATAGTATTTAAAGGAGACAAAACCGCAGCTTGTTTAACAAGAGGCATTACTGTTTATCCCATTTGTTCAGCACCGCATTTGAATAAGTATAAATGAGATCAAAAGAGCGTACGAATTCATTGGGTCCTTACCATTCATCAGCACTTTCAGCTGTTTGTCATAAAACTCTGTTTCTTTCTGAGAGACGAGGGCACACTCCGCACACTGGCGCACGGGGTCCACGAAGCACATGCGAGGCAGAGGCACTTTTTTACTGCAGCACTTGTCACAGAAGCACTTCCCGCATCTTCGACAGTGATGCTAAACACGAGAGGACATTCTGTTTGCTTCACCATGTACACAGGAAACCACCAGGGAATAATTCCATAAAGTTACTCTATTAAATATCCTCCTCCCCAAAAAAAACCAGAACAGTCTGTTGAGTGGGAAACACACAAGCTGAGGGATAGGTAAAGGAAATTTTTAACTGCTGGAGCGGTAAAAAGAAATCTCTGGAGATTGAACACAAAGGACTGAGTATAACAAACAGCAGCACTATAGGGCTTTGTTGCTCCTCTGTAAACATGCTTCTAAGCAGACCAGAGAAGACACTGAAAGGGCTTTGCAGCGTCCAGTAAATCCTTCACCTTACTGTCAATAAAAACACAACAAAAGAGTGGTTTCTAGGTCCCTTCCCACTTCCAAGCAAAGATCTTGGGAAACTTCAGCTACAGATCTTATTCTTCTCCCTTAAAACTGATTCTCAAGCTTTTCCCGTGGAAACTGAAAACTTAAAGCTGTTTCTCTATCAGAAACACCAGGCAGTGTGGTACAAACCCAAAGAAGTTACAAAACCAGAACCAGTATCACAATGTGTTTCACAGCCACTGAACCTGCACCCAGGGGCTCGTGCCCCAGATCACCACGGGGTGGGACAGTCCCAGCAGGTCTGACGTGACGCAAGGTCATTGCCAGACAAGTCTTCCCAGGCAAGCAGGATCTGTGGCTCAAAGCAAGTTTGAACAGTTTGATACAAGGAACTGATACGCTGCAGATTTGGCCAGCGTCAGGCTTTCCTTCCAAGCATTATGCAAAATTCTCTGGAGTGCCTGTTTCCCAGGGCTACCTCCATGGACTTCCCAGAACTTACACAAGTAGAACACAGCAGCCTCATCAATTAGGGCTTCTCCATCTAAATTCTCCAACTGACCACCAAGCACGCTCTTAACCCATCAATTAAAGGTAAAACAAGAACTAGGAGAATGTACGCTCCGTGATTTAGGAGAACTAGGATCCCTAACTGACATCCTAACACCCTTCAGGCCTCCTGACAATTTAAACCTATCTGGTATAACATATTACTATGTTTGGTTTACAACTAATTTCTCTTTCCCCCCCTCCAAACAATAAATTTAAAAACATCGACCATATCAATGCACTACAAGTCACACTTCCACATCTTTTCTCACTTTCACAGTCGTGTGTCAGTGTAGTTCTACAAAGGAATGACATTCCCTGCTAAAAAATCATCTATGGCCTTTTTTGGGAGGCTGCTTTCCTTCCCCAGGCAGAAACCCCAGTATCAGCAGAATGTTTTTCCTACAGTAATATTCCATACACCAGCCTACATTCCACAGCGACCTGCCTACTTTTATGTAATGAATGTGATTTAATTCTAATGTTAGTGTTTTCTCTTCATCCAGGGACCCTACCTACAGCTCACAGCAATCAAGGCTGTTTATACTTCCTACTTTAATCAGAAATTCCAACACAAGATAAATCCTGTTTTACCTCTGGAACAGAAGGATAATCTGAGTTTTGGTTCTCCGCATTTAATAATACGTTTCTTAAATGTAAGATTGTAATTCATCACTCTTGAAAACATATTTGCTTACATTTCCACAACTAATTTTAGCTCCTAAAACAGGACTGAATTAGTTGGTTTATGTCAGTACCGATGTTAGCAGCCCATTCCAGCAGGAGTTCCTCAAACTCTTCCTTTGAACATAAATCCTGTGGGTACCCAGTAATTTGGAAAAAACCCTAACCATGTATTACACATTGAGCAACAAGGATTTCAAAGAAACAGAATTAAAACAAAAAGGATGTCTACTCCAAAAAGACAGATCAGAAAGAAAAACTACTGTAAGTTCTCAGACTGTGCATGCCATTCTACCAAAATCTACGTTTTTAAAATCGAAAGAAGTCCATGTTAGTATTTTGCAACAGTTAATGCTCTACATTTCATTGATTTCTCTTACCTTTCTAGTTATGAAGTCAAATTTCGTATCACACTGCATACATCTTGGGCACTAGAAAACAGTACAAATTAAAATTAATCTACAAGATTTCTAATGCTTTAATCCTACTACGATACACACAGACTGAGCTTTATGTTAAGCCCTAAAAAGAAACACCTCCAACAAATTTCCGTCCTTTATCTTTTCACCATAGATGGGTTTCATTTATTTTAATACTGATGTAGTAAATTAATGTCATCCCCATTTGTAAGACAAAAAAAAAAGCTGCCAAACTAATTCACCCCAAGGAATCCTGCATCTTGCCTGCAGTCAAAGCTACGTTTCAGAAGTACTCATCATGCTTAATTATGTTTGGCTACGCAGACAGCCATGTATTCCAGAGTAAACTGTTTTTATATATAAGTTGTCATTCCTCACTGTATTATACTGGGATGCTCTGTTGACTCTCCAAAACATTGTTTACATATTTTAACGCTTTGGGTACTTACACATTTTTGGAACATGCGAGGAGATACTTGGTTTGTATCCAAACCACTAAGACTTAATTTTTATTCCAGCTACAAAATGTCACTTCCTGAAATATCTCTTCCCTAAAACAAGCTTACACCCACACTCCTCCCAAAAGAAAAGCCAGAAAAAAATTAAGAAGTTCTCTCTCACAACAAAATACAGTTTAAGGGGCAACAGGTTTGATTTTCTAAACTAGCAGAAGTTATCGGTGATTGTTCTGACAATTAAAATTTTCTACATAGAAATTCACCCACCAAAGGGCCGATACCCAGCACTTCAGATGATCAGACTTTCACCAAGACTTTATGTATTTTTATGCACCATATAAAAAAACATCCTCCAATTGCTTAGAATGCAATTTTTATTAGATTTATTTGTAAATATTAATGCAAAATTATGCCTGACATCTGAGTCAGGAGAACATGGTTAGATCCTGTAGTAAATTTTATAACACTCGAAAACCTAAACACTTCAAACCAGGCTCTCTCACACTACAGCAGAAAAACATCTTTAAAACATGCCCTAAGCCGAGCAGGTGCTATTTGCTAGCACCCAGTAATCGCCCTTTGCCTTTAATTAACACAACTCAACACTTAACCCTTTACCTTCTATAAATTCCTCCAGATTACAACAGCTTTTGACATCTATTTTGGGGACGGATTTTTGCTTCAGCAAAATACCAGCCACTGTCAAAAATTCACTAACTACAGCCAAGAAAATACCACAGCAGCTAAATTAAAAAATGTCTAGAAACTTTTCATTTTCTTTTGAAGTACAAGCTTGTTAATAATTTGCAACAGTTTATATGAAGTGTTCCGACATCTAAACAAAGGCTGAACAAATTAGAGAGTAACTGCAGCCACTGTAATGGAACATAAATAGCCACCTGCAGTAGCTATAAACTATCACAATCGTTTATGTTGGGATGCAATAAACTATCTGTCTCTGAATCACACCCAGAAGAGAACCAGAAGTGTCCCTGAGTTGTTTCAAACAGCGAACTGAATTAAGGCATCCAACCACCGCTTGTCACAATGGCTGCAGAAAAGCTCATTCTAACACTCACTGATGAATAACCCTCAGCATAAATAAAGCAGCTTCAGCCTTCCCCAGGTTCCATCTCTGTAACAAGTACCACTCTGCAGTTAATACCACATTTTGCTTCACACTGATCGTGATTTTGTAATTTTGACGTAGCTTAAGAGGTTGTCTGGGAGCTGGACTGGCAGGAATTTTGGTATACTTTGAATTTACCAAGGGTCTAGCTCATTTTCTTAACAAAAACATGCATTTTTTTGGTGTGTGTGTCAGAAATTAGAAAGCACAAGCCAAAAACTAGGGGGAAAATGCTCTGTATGAAGTCCTAAATAGACTTCATACATGATGTTACACTAAACATACAAGCTGCTTTTCAGGAAGGAACAAAGTTATTCATCCTCTTATTTAATACACACTCTACAGAAAAATATTTCTGAATTCCAGACCTATCATGATAACACTCTCTGATATATATAGTGGTCATAAATAAACCACAAGTCAAAGGGCACAGAGTAGCAGGCATTGGGCAATGAGATTTTCGACACAAACACCCTAACCCAAGCAGGCTGGATGCACTGTTCCTTCAAGGCACTTCTGCTTTAAGTAACCGGAATCAAGTGATTTCATTTGCATAACATCTACTTCTGCATCGCCTGGGAAGACATCGCTACTGAGGAGCATCTTGAAAGGTGAATCCTTCCTATTCATCCACATGCTGCCACAATTAGAAAATGCACGAGCACTGAATTAGGCTTTATTGCTTGAAGGGTTTTGGTTTTTTTTAATCACATTTACGGAGAAGACAGCATGACACTTGAGTTACTTTTCATGTCTCTGACACATAGGCTTTTTAAAACTACTGAAAATCTGATTTTTTTTTTTGACAAATAGAAACAAAAAGATATGAAGTAAGAAACAAAAATGCATGTCACAACTATATTCGTTGCACAAACAGTCAACATACCACTAATACTGATATTACTTCATATAGCAAGAGGAAAATGCAAGAACATCTGACAGATGTTGCATCTTGGTATTAATTTAGAAATACTGAGAGGTAGTTCATTATAAACAGTGGATCTTCTCACGTGTTTGCTGAAGTGTGGTAACAAATTTGCATAACACTTCGGATCCAGCTCCTGTAGATGGCCAGGAAGCTGTAGTTACACTTCACATGCTTTATTTGCATATACAATAACAAAGCCATTCAAGAAGTGATGCAAGGCAACACCTGGTTGAGCTTCTTAACACAGTGAACTTTTGCCAATGAGAAAGTTCACAAGCTCATCAAATCACACCTCGTAACACCCCTGACCGAAACAGCTGATGCCAGAATGGGAAACAACACTACATGACCATACAGCAGATGTGGTGTTTGATGCCTTGTCATATTAGGATTCTACAGGATCAGCTCACAGCTGGAGCTACACACATTTGCCAGCAGTCGGAGGGCAGCTCAGAGAGCCTGAGCCATCGGAGGGACCCAGCAATTATTTAATTTATATCATAAATAAGACTACCAAAAAAAAAAAGTTTTCTTTAGTCCTCCTTCAGGACTACAGAAACTTCAAACTCCTCACAGCAACCAATATTTTAAGACTGTATGATCTCATGACACAAAATTAAAAACCTGAAATATATTTAAATGTCACCTAAGTTTAGCAAAACTGCTAACTGCCATAATTTTTAGGTGCCTTCCCTTTTAGGAAATAAGCCAGTAGACTTTTCCTGCAGAAGAGAAATAAAGCTACTGAATTGGTGAGTGTTACTGGCTGCACAGCAGAAGCCAGCTTATTAGAAAAGCCAGATCAATGTTTGGTAATAGTTGCCTCTTCCCTTGGACACAGAAAACATTTTTACTTATTATACTGAAATAAATTAAATCAATGTCTGACACAGTAACATCAGCAAGAGTTCTTGTAGAATTCACTAATTAGACAATGCTATCTCTCTAAATTTCATTGCATTAAAAAAGCCATGGGTTTATAAGCTTCTCTGTATTACAGCATACTTGCTTCATTTAAAAAAAAAAAAACAACGTTTCATCAAACCGACATTAGAATTTCAATACACTTTGACGTAAAGAAATACAGTGAAATAACCTTTTACAAAATAACAATACATGCAAGATTAAGAATATGAATTAATACATGCATTTAAGCTGTTTGTATGTAATACACCTCCTCTTAATTGCAACTATCACTGAGCTCGATGCAAAGGCCACATTCAGTCACAAATAAATGTCATCAGCCTATTGACCAACTGACTACAAGAGAAAAGTTGAATTTTAAGGAGAACGAATACCTGCAGTACAACTGTAATATCAAATTCAAGCGCATATCAGATTGATGTATCTGAAATGTACAGACTTAATTCTTAAATACATATAACTAGTTTAAATAAATCCTACCACAATCCTCAACCTACCTTTAACTGAATTAGGATGGTACTATTTATTAGACTGAGTTATAAATACCTCACCTCTTTTTTTTATTTAATGAAATGAGTCTGCTATTAATCCAGGACTACTGAAATATAAAACTACATTTCAGAAGGTCGTGGAGAAAACTAATTTTGATTTAACAAATTAAATCCACTGATGATGACGGTGTCAGGAACCAGGTTTCCTGGTGGCCCAGGAGAGTGCACACAGGGCACAGCAAGTCACCTACGCAGCAAAAGCAGACACCATGCAAGACGAAGGGAAACCACTTACACAATTAACTGCTCAGACTTTGCTACATGTTCCCTGATAAACACACACCCCGTCAGCAACACACCCAGCGCAGCGCACCACAGATGGTGCCAGCCTCCACAGCCACCAGTACCTTCAAACGCCACAGCTCCTGTCACTGAAAGTTTTATTTTATCAACACTTTATAGGAGACAGATACTCAGTTGCAACTGATGACAGGGAGAACTGTTTTGTTTTTTTTTTTAATTTGCCAAGCATAGATGAGATTTGAGTAAACTCCAAGATGTTTTAGCAAACCGCTTGTTTAAAACAAGCTGAAGAAGTCACTTTCCAATTAGAAGCTGTTATTTTGGACAAAACCAGCAAGTGAATTACTAGCCATACAGCTTAAGACAGTAAAAGTATAGTCTCAGTCACTTGAGCTGCAGCCACTGCACTAGCAGAGCCAGTCTCCTCTATTATTGCTTTTACACAGAACTTTTTTGCCTCAAGAGGTACCAGGAAGGGGCAAAATTTTCTTCCTCATTCCTGACCAAGGGAGACTTAGAGTTCCTGCACAAAACTGACCAACCATGCCAGTATCGGGCACAGAATGGCTTTGTTTAATGACTCCCTGCTTAAACTCATATTGGCTCATCAAAAATACATCTCAATTCTGGTCACACATAAATGCACTGGCACGTATCCACACCACCAAACGCTGGCAATAAACAAACAAATAAACAATTGAATCCAAGTTGTACGAGCATCTAGCTGTAGGGGCTGGGAATAAGTAACGCATATTACATGAAATTTAATATAACACCATGATCTCAGAGTTTACTCAAAAAACATTTAAAGGCAAAGTTGACTGAAATGGTTATGTCATTCCATACTCGCTTAACACTGGGAACATTCACACTGGGAGCCAGAAGGGCTGTTCTAACCCTGTTGCCTTAATGTTTTCCATCTATTTTATTTATTTTATTTTTTAAATCAACACAATCTTCAGCGAGGGACTCTTTGTCAGGAAGTGTAGTGACAGGACAAGGGGTAGTGGTTTTAAATTGGAATAGGGGAGATTTAGATGAGATATTAGGAAGAAATTATTTCCTGTGAGGGTGGTGAGGCACTGGCCCAGGTTGCCCAGAGAAGCTGTGGCTGCCCCATCCCTGGAAGGGTTCAAGGCCAGGCTGGATGCCTCTTTGGGCAACCTGGTCTGGTGGGAGGTGTCCCTGCCCATGGCAGGGGGCTTGGAACTCGATGATCTTTAAGGTCCCTTCCAACTCTAACCATTCTATGATTCTGAATTACCTTTATAAGCATTTAAAGGGAAAGCTCCACTAAAGAGCAACGCTGCAGAGCTTTTAACTCCTTTTAACTCCTCTCAGTCCCTCACTGACTGTGGGGACGGAGCCGCGCACCCCCAAAGAACCAACGTCGCTCCCGTCCTTTCGAGTCCATTAATCGACGCGAAATGAAGAATTGGGGTTCACGACTAAAACAACCGACCCGGGGGACCCTCACCCGGTCGATCGGTCTGTGAGGTGAGGTGAGGCCAGCCGATCCCTCAGCACCGGGCGGGCCGGCTCCCGGGGACCCCACCGGCTAACGCCGCCCTGAGCCCGGGTACAGGCAGCCAGCCGGTACCCGCCCCGACCGGCACCGAGCCCCCCGACCGGCACCGAGCCCCTTAACCGGCACCGAGCCCCCCGCCGGCCGCGATCAGGGGGCCCCTGAGGCGTCGGGAACACCCCCCACAACCCCCTCCCCGGGGAAGAAGGGGCGGCGCCCCCACCCCTACCGATACCTCCTTGTCGGGAACCCAGGGCGGTTCGTCCAGGCCGAAGGGGCTGCGGGCGGAGCGGTGCTCGGGCACCATACGCAGCCCGCTGGGCGAGCGCACCAGCTTCTTGGCGTCGCGGGCCTCGCAGCCCGACATCTTCCCCCCCTCACGCTCCGCCGCCGCTACTCGCTACCCCGGGACTGGCAGCGCCACTACCCAATGGCAACCTACACCCCAGAGAACGGGCATATCGTAAGGCCAATGGGAAGAAGCGAGCTGCCGCCAGTCCCTGCCCACCCGCTCCAGACGCCCAATAGAACGCCGGCTCCGGACTTCCTAACCAATCCGGTGCCGCCTAGGGGTTGAAGGCTGGCATAGTATTCCTTCCCCGTCCCGTCAGGCGCTCGGGGCGCATGCACAGCGGGAAGTGCCGGCCCCGCAACCCGGAAGCGGAGGGCGGGGTTTGCTCTGAAGGAGTATCGTTCCGCCGGTGTCCCTCCGCCGGAAGCCGCCTTAGTGCTGGTAAAACTGCTCAACGGAGTGATGATTAATCGGGCTTGAATGTCCCTGCTTAACGGTAATTAATTGGTAGAAATGATTGAAAGTACCCCACAGATGAGTTTCAGGATAGGAGCGTTGCTTTGCAGCCTTTTTACGCACGGCACAAAGGGGCGTGTGTTTGCTAGTTCAGTGTAGCCGCAGTGAAATAGTTCTGTCCCTCAGAATATCTTGTAATTAACGTCAAAAGAAACCCCACCAACAAAATAACATCCCAACTATTTACATCTAGTGGGTTTTTTTTTTCAGCAAGGAGCTGCTGTGTTACTCTCAGCACGGTTCTGAAAGGGAATAGGCTGGTGATTTCTTCTCTCCCCTCTCCCTATCCCCCTAATACCCTTTTTTTTTAAATTTTTGCTGACTTTTAGGGTTTCTCACATAACACACGGCACCCTGAGCAAGCTGCAGGGAGGCCACGGCAGGCTGTGGGTGTGAGCAGCGTCTCTCCTCACGTTCTCTCCTCCCTCCCTAGGATATACTGTAGAGAAAAAAAAGGGGATTTTTTTTATTTTCAGCAAGAGGGTATTAGAACAAGCGTAACACTGTAATTTGTAATAGTTACTAAACTACGAGGTCCAGAGTGATTCAAAGGGAAAAACCCTGGAGAAGGGTAAATATTGTGGTTTATTACCCATTTGGCCCCTCAGAGCTGAGGTGGGAAGAGCCTCCTCGCCGTGAGGGACTCTCTGTTGCCATGGTGAGGGTTAGCACGGCAAATACTGAAGAGAAAGAAGCGAAATTAGATTCATTAAGGCTTCTTCTGTAAGATTAGTTTCTGTTGTTCCAGAGCGGAATCCAAGGCGTGGATAATCTTTGATCCGAGGCGTTATGTACGGAGACGCTCAGGGGGCTGGAGCCCCTCTGCTGTGAGGACAGGCTGAGGGAGTCGGGGGGGTTCAGCCTGGAGAAGGCTCCGAGGAGCCCTCAGAGCCCCTTCTAACACCTAAAGGGGGCTACAGGAGAATTGGGGAGACACTCTTGATCCGGGTGTGGAGCGACAGGATGAGGGGGAACGGTTTTAACCCCAAAGAGGAGAGACTTAGATGAGATATCGGGAAGAAATTCTTTATTCGAAGGTTTTGAGACGCTGGAACAGGTTGCCCAGAGAAGCTGTGGCTGCCCCATCGCTGGAGGTGCTCAAGGCCAGGCCGGAGGGGTCTGTGGGAGCGCCCTGTCCCGGTGCCGGTGTCCCTGCCCGCGGTGGCACCGGGCGCTCCCTCAAGACCCCTCCTTCCAGCCCAAACCCACCACAAGAGCCGCCAGTCCCCGCCCACCCGCCCCAGACGCCCAATAGAACGCCGGCTCCGGGCTTCCCAGCCAATCCCGTGCCGCTTGGGGTTGAGGGCCGGCGTGTCAGTCCTTACCCGCCCCTTCGGGCGCTAGGGGCGCGTGCGCAACGGAAACTGCCGGACTCGCGACCCGGAAATCAGCCACCCACCCTTGTATTCCGTGCCGCAGGAAGCGTAGTAGCCAATCAGCGAGCAGGGGGTGGGGTCAGCTGGCCTGACGGGCCCACCGAGCCGCTCGCTCCTCCGCCGCTCCCCGCCCCGCGGAAGGGATCCTTACTGAGGTGGAGAGCGTCCCGCCCTCTCGCTGAGTCGCGCCCTGCCCATTGGCCGCCCTTACCAGAGCGGGCGCCTTGAGGAGTTATGATTGGCCCGCGGCTGGCAAGCTGCTCGCCGATTGGCTACGGCCTTTCGCGGCGGATTCGTAACGTTGGTGAGAGTGGTGTGGCAGGTGTGTCCCTCCGCCGGGTGAGGCGGCTCCTGTCAGGGCTGGGGGTCCCAAGCCGCTCCGCTCCCCTCTACCTCAGCCGGGCTGCGGAAGGGTGCTGCCCCCCGCTTCCCTCCGCGCCGCGGAGAGCTGTGGTAGAGCCGGGAGGCCTCAGCCGGCGCCTCGTCCCCGGGACACGCCTGGCCTTCCAGTACCTGGCTCCCGGTGTCCCTTCCCAGCGCCTCGGGCAGAGGCCGCGATGGAGCGGCTGCGTGTGAGTGGGGGGTACGGAGTGGCTTGGAGTCCTTCCAGTCACAGGTCGCCACGATCATGATATATTTCAGTAAGTTTCGACTTCTAACTCCTGTCAGAACCTCGCTTTACATAGGCGTTACTTAAATATCTCTTCTCTTGCCTGTGTTCTTTTGTCGGTATTCACAGCAACCTCTCCCTCCCCCCGTGTTAAAAAAAGGGGATTGTTCATTAAGTCATATATCTTAAACAACTCTTTTAAGTGTCTGCCAGAATCCTTCATAAAGATGATCTGAATAATATTAGCAAACCCCACAATACTCTTCTGGGCAGCTGTAGCGCTAAGCTATTGTGTTTCAAAGTATTTATAAGAGCGTTTAATACTGTTGAAAGAAAGTGATTTGAATGTTTTAATGCTACATTTGTTTTTAGCTAATCAAAGTGTATTTGATTCTCCAATGTATGGATAGTCCTGGATCATTCCAAATCTGATCTTGTTTTCTGTTTGAAAACAAAAAGCTAGTGGCAGGATAGAATTAACTGTCCAGTGTATCTGTGAACTTCAATCCAAAGCAAATGCACTATGCAGCATTACAAGCAATTAAATTTATTAGTAATTCTGCAGTGTTATTAGTTGAACCCTTTAATAGCATACATGTAAACAGCCATCTGAGAAGACTTCTGCCAATGTGCTGAATCATTGTTTGTTCTAAGATAACAGATAACTACACTTATAAAAGAAGATTCCTACAAACTTTTCATGTTGGTTGATGCTTATTTTTTTTGTTGTTGTTGCTTGTATATCTGATAAAAGCCACTTTAATAACAGATAATTCGCTCTGGTGCTGTATCAGGAAATGGATTGGGACCAGTTTGACTTGAACCCCAAAGTAATTGCTGCCCTTAAGAAAGGTAACTTAATTTGTCAATGTCTAGTTAATAGATCTGTCACCACAGTGTTTTCCTTTATATAATTGCGTGGTTGTGGGTGTAAGCCTGTAGATGTACAGTAACATTTCAGAACTGTAATTAAGGATTTCATATGGAAGTTTTTTGAATAATTAGAAGTGATGGGTTTTCCACATGCTCCATTAATAATTTTCCAAACAACTTGATAGCTTGTGCTTGTACAGTCAAAGTAAACGTTGCCTGCCCTGCTTACAAGAATGCAGTGTAGGTAAACTTCGAGTAAATGAGTAGCAGAAAGTGGGAAAACTTTTGTGCATAAGACTGTAACCCAGGCAAAACAATTTACAAATATTCTTCTAATTTCAGCTGACATAAAATCAGTAAAAGAGATTTTAAATCTTTCCGGAGCAGACTTGCAAAGATTGATGAAACTGTCCAGTGCAGATACACAATGCTTGCTGAAAACAGTCTCTCACATGCTGAGGAGAAATAGTATGCTCACAGGTAATTCAGTCAATACCAAAAAACTGTTCTGTTTAAATCTTAAAATACTGTCACTGGGAGAAAATAGGGTTTTGGTTCGTCATTGACACCATAATGTGATTCTGAACATGAAAAGGCAAGTGTTTTAGTTATGCTGTAGTGAATTATTTAACTATCCTAAGGACAGCTCCCCTGAGACCTTGAAGGTAGGAGGAAGGGGATGGGTCTCGTTCTTTGGGATCAAGCCTGCTTGAAACGGGACAAAATGATTCTCCAGTCTGGAAAACTTGATGAGAGGGGGAAAAAAAAAAAGTCCTTCTCCCTTTTGGACTAAGACTAGTTGGAAAAACTAATAAATTATAAACTACATAAACTGAGTTGATATAAATGTCTAATTCCAAACCAAGCCTAATAGCTCCTTCTGCACAAATGCTTTGTGGCAGCTCTGTACTCAGAATTTATTTTGTTATGATTTGCATATATCTTCAGGCCTTGGCCAGGTGCCCGGTACGCTGTTTCATAGTCTGCTATAGTTTTCCATCGCAATAATTGCTGTGCTTGAGCCTTGCTGGCAATATTTTCCCTGGATGTAGCTTCCACGGAGACTCCTTAGAGGCAGAGAAAGGAAAATAAAGTTGGAGAGGAGGAAAGGGCTCAGTGTAAACTATCAAGCATCCCTTGTAGACAGAAACCTGGCATACAACTTCTATTTTTGTATCATTGTGTGTTAGAAAGATACTAAATTAAACTCCTTTCTCTTTTTTTCCTTTTTTTTTTTTTTTTTTTAAATAATTTTAAAAAATCCCAAACCCTGCAGCACTTCAGCTCTACCAAGATAAAGATCACCTCACCTCCCAACACCAGAAGCTGAGCCTGGGATGTTCAGTACTGGATGGCTTGTTAAAAGGTGGCATTCCTTTAGTGGGAATCACCGAACTCGCTGGGGAAAGTTCTGCTGGGAAGACTCAGATTGGTTTACAGCTGTGCCTCTGTGTGCAGTATCCTTACAAATACGGTGGATTAGAGTCTGGTAAGTACTGAAATGGAAATATTGATCAGTTTGCCATTTGGGAGAATATACTGTCTTTAAGAACATCAGCAGGGCATTGAAGGGCAGCGCGTGTATCTTGGGTATGTGGTATATATGGCCTAATTGGGGGTTTCAAATTTCAAAGAATATTTAGTTTGATAACAGCGGTTATAGTGATTTACAGAGTAAAATTGATGGAAATACAGTTGAAGAAAGTTAACGTTGTTTTGTACCTGTGATTTTTTTCCTGGGTTTCCCAAAATGTACAAGTTTGTTCTTTGATTTGAGTATGGTTTTTTTATTCTATGCTGCCTTAGAAAGGGAGGAAGCTTGTGCCACTCCTGGTAGTCTGCTTTGGGTGAGTTTTGGCTGTAATCTTGCTCTTCCTTCCATCTAGCACTGGGTTTAATTTGGCAGCTCAGTGGTTTGTTGTGGGGAAACTTAATTATTTCTTGTACTATATCCACCCACGTAGAAAAATCATGGAATGTCCCAACAAAGATCTTGCTTAAAGGGCCGTAATTGGCCTGTGGCTTATGTTACTTTGCTTTGTTATGTCAATAATCACAGCAGAAGCAAATATATTTTGTTCAATTCCTTCATGTGTTGCTTCTAACTGCTGCAGATGGTTTGAGTGCAAATACATTTTTATTCATGCCCAAGCACTTCTCCCCATCTCTGTTGAAAGAAAGGAACAAACCAGGAGGGATTATGGAAGAAGGTGCCCAGCATCCTGGTGGCAGTCTTGGCTCTGGTACCAGACTATAGCCTTCCTTCTAGGGCTACAAAATGACAAGTCGTTTCATTATTTATGTTGGAAGATGGTTCTGGTTTCTCATGCCCCGAGCACTTGGTGCCATTACGATTGCTTTGTCATGTCTGTGGTCCTCATCTACCCACACCTTGGTGTTTCATGGAAGGTGGGATGGAACGGCCATCGTATCAATGCTCCTGGGAGAGAACCAGAGGGTTTTGGAAGGGTTGAGAACACAGACATTTTGAGGATCTTGGAAGATCTAGAAGGTGGAAATATCGTGCTGCTGGAGTTGGAGAGCTAGGGGAGTGGTGGAATCCTAATTCTAGCATTTCTTTACTCTTGGTATGGTGTTTTGCCACATGTTTGACTGCACACAGTCACGGCAGCAGATACTGTTTGATAGCACTTAGAAATTGAAACTTGGTTTCTCTGCAGTCTATGGATACAGGTTACGTTGAGTCTCTTATGAGAAATACAGGAATTAAAAGCTCATGTTATGAGGAGTTTTATTCTTTAGGAAACTTGAGGGGAACAGCAACGCTTAGTAACTATCACAGAACGCTAGCACTACCAAGAGAAGATTAATCTCAGTACTAAAACTTTGCTACTAATTTAAAATTATGTTGGGCTGTTTGTTTGGTTTTTCTGTTGTGTTTTTTTAAGGGCTAAAAACTTCCCATCTCTTAGGTGATGATGCTGAAATACATTTCTTCAGACAGTATAGATTTATTGTGTATTTACTTCATTTGACTTGGTGCAAATCTTGTTTACAATGGTAGGAGGTTGGCAGCAAACAAAGAAATTAGGACATTCTTTGCCTCAAGGTTCTCCTTCTGCCATTCTAAGAATGTCAGTTCTGGTCAATCCCATGTTGGCTGATTTTATATGCCCATATTCGTAAGAAATACATGAATATAATGTGACAAATGCATATCCATATTAGAATTGTAAATTAGAGAGAAAAGCTTGCTACTGATTCTTGGTAACAAACTGGTTGGTGCATGACAAATTATTTCCACAGGACTCAAAATTCATTCTTCTTCGAGGATGGGGTTTTTTTTAGTGGTTTTGTGCTTTTTTTTTGTTTGTTTGTTTTTGGGATATGTTTTGGTCGACAACCAGTATAGCACTTTTTTCAGCCTAAATAACTAGGATTAAGGCACTGGGATTTGATGAAATAGCTGTTTTGTGTTTGGCTTTTTGTGGGCCTGTGAGGAAAGATGCTTATAAGATCACTGGGGGTGACTGGCTTCTTAAGAGTGTGTCTCAGCTTCTTCCTCAAAAGCAGTGACTGCCCTCACCCCTCTCTTGCTGTTGGTGCTGACAGCTTCCTGAGAAACTGGAAATAGCATCATGCCATAATGCCATAGGCTTTTCTCTTTGCCTTGTACTAGTCTCCCCTTTTTTTTTAGGTTATGATGATTCCCTTATCTTTAAAGATTCGTGAATATTAAGTGCTTTTGCCTCATAATTAACAAAAAAAATTTAAAAAAAAAATTAACATGAATAAATGCATTCACTTGAACCTTAAAATCACTCTCATGATTTTTACAAAGAGGACAGTGGTACCAGGAATTTTAAATCTAGGTCGCTGGACCAGTGGAGCAGAGGGGACCAGATTTTTGCTTTTCCAGCAGCTCTTTTTTGCCTCCAGGTTATTACAGCTGTAGGATTATTGTGTTTGCCTTGATTTACTTGTTCATCAGGTATAAATGTGAAACTGGGCCACAATTGCACATGCGTTTGTCATACAATAAGATTGCTTGATCATTCTATATTCTTCTGCTTTTACCTCGTGTTTGTTCCTATCGCTGTTCTTATTACTTGTACTGAGATTATCTTCAAATAAGGTCTTTAAGAGAATTTAACATTTTTTTTTCTCCAGGGAAGTTCATTTTGGATAAATGTATTTTTTTCAGCAAGTTTCTCAGGTTTTCTGTTTTGAAATGTCATGAATGTTGCAATAACTCTGGATCAAACCACAATTATCTAATCGATGGAGCATTGATGTATCTAGAAATGAGAATCTGCATTTGAAAAAAACAACACCCATGAAGTCTCAAGAAATGAACGTTCCATCCTTTTTAAGCAAACCAAGGACAGCAGGAGGGACATACTGCTTAAAAAATAGTCTGTTTTTTAGAAAGCAGATGATTTCTCCAGTATTGGTGGTAAAGAAATGCCTGTCTCTCAGAACTGGGCAGTGCTGTGCAAAAGGCAATCATCTGTGAATAACAGTTGTAGGTGCAAAGTCCAGAATGTTTTACTTGAGGGCCTGTTAAGTTCCTGTGCCAGCACCAGTCAGCGTAGTTTTGTTAGCATGAAATTCAGAAACCACACGGGCTGAAGGAAGCTGCTTGTTGTGGTGTCTTTTCCTTATTTCTTCATTTGTTTACTTGGCTTTGAATTTGCACCATGGTGATTTTCAGTTTTGTGGTGTAAATGTTGCAAGACATAATTGGCTTATCGTTGTGGTGTCTTTTCCTTATTTCTTCATTTTTTACTTGGCTTTTTATTGGCACTGTGGTGATTTTCCATTTTGTGGTGTAAGTGTTGCAAGACATAATTGGCTTATTTGAGTGAGTGTTGGTGCTAGATACACATAATGCCAAAGCTGTGATTAGAAATTTTTCTAATTTCTAAAAATTTTCTAAAAACTGGCTCTTTAGAAATCATGGAACTGGAAGTCTGATTAGGAATGGATGAACTGCCCTTAGTAGAGATACTCACCTGCCTATTTGATGCTCAGCTGTCACTGTCAAGTTGAAGAGTGATATGAAAATTAGTCCAATTAGGAGAAATTAACCTAGGGAAACAGTCAAGAAAGTTCACCTAGTCAAGGTTCACCTAATTAAGTGTTTAATAATTAGCTGTCTAAAAAGCCTTAAGCAATTAAACAATGTAATTATTTATTGTGTTTTCCTTGCCTCAGCTTCATACAAGTTCCAGTGGGAGTCAACAAGCTGCTGATATCACTGTAAACTTAATGTTGATTCAAATACCTGTGGACTCATTTTCTCTTTTTTTTTTTTTTTTTAATTTTCCTTCTTTGCTGATGGAAATCTGTATATGTACTCATTTGTGTCTACAGGTATTGCGTGTGACTTCAGTCTTAATTGCCAAAGAGAGCATTTATCCCTGCAGTTTAAAATTCAGAATTCCATCCACCCAAATCCTAGGGAGAAAAAAAAAGTGGGAAAAGTACAGGAAAATATTCATGGTTCAACTTCTTAATTTTTCATGTGTTGAGGAATCGTGATCAGACGATGACTGCTCTGATCACTAATGCTTTATTGGCATCTTTATTCACTGTTACATATTGTAAACTGCTGCTTTTCCCTCTGCCATACGTGTGCACAGAATGACACTGGGGAATGGAGAGTGGAGACTGAACAGTCTGGTGATAAATGCTATTGGCTGCCAGGGCCAAGGAAAGTTAAAAGGGAGCTGAGGTGCAATTTGAGCCTGTTCTTAGGTAGAATGGGAATAGGAGGTACTGAAATGTTTCCACAATTTCTATGGAAGGCGTGGATGACAATGCTTTATTGGCATCTTTATTCACTGTTACATATTGTAAACTGCTGCTTTTCCCTCTGCCATACGTGTGCACAGAATGACACTGGGGAATGGAGAGTGGAGACCGAATAGTCTGGTGGTAACTTTCCTTGGCCCTGGCAGCCAATAGCATTTAAAAAGGAGCTGAAGGTACTGAAATGTTTCCACAATTTCTGTGGAAGGCGTGGATGACGATGAAGTATTTTTCCATGTGTTAATAATTGAGGAAGGCCTTTAATTCTCACCCATGAAAGATAATTTTTAAAATTAGTGGGCATGGATAAATTTTTTTTTTGCTTTACCTGATAGTTGGGTATTTAAAGATAAGACTGTGTATTGGAAAAATAATTTAATTTTTAAAAATGTTTCACATATGAAGTAGAATTTGTGGTGGGGTTGGGGAATTAAGCTGTTTAGTCCTAAAGGAAATTAGGCTTAGGCTCATCTTTGTCTTATGTAGAAGATTCTCAGCATTCACTACTCTGTGTTATACAGGTGTCCATCAGAAAAGTATTTTTATTGATAAAGTAACCATTAATTTTAACTTGATCCAGTCCTTAGATCTTTCAGTTTCTGCTACTGGATATGGTTTCATTTTATATTTTTTTTTCAGTGGAATATATAGAGGATTTGGTAGTTGCATCTGGAAATGGGATTTTCTGCTCCCTGGAGAGCCAGCTTAGGGATGGGCCATTGGGGTGGAAATGTTCAGGATGTCTCGTTGCCAAACCCATCAGCTGCCAAGCTCTGTCAGCGGCTTCAGCCACTTTAGTGACTGGACTTAATCCTTAGATATAACCCTATCAGTATGAGCTGATTAATTCTGGCTAGTTCTGCAGTAACAGTAACAATTTATTTTTTTTTTATAAAGAAATTTACTCACAGTAATGTGATTGAAGTGTAATGCTTTTTATCTAATCTGCCATTTTCTAGAAGAGCTAATTGGGCTGAGATTGGATGAGTGATCCTCTTTAAACTGGCTTACAAATTGTGGCAATAAGTATCCCTTCATATGTAAATTTAAAAACAAGGAAGGTAAAAACAGTGAGTGAAATTAGTCACAATAACTAGTTCTACTGGTTTTGACTTAGGATAGTTCATTTTTTTCATCGTACAGTGCTGTGTTTGGAATTTTTGAGCAAACCAGGCAAACTGTGCAGTATTGCTCTTGTTGTGGGCTGGAGAAGTTATGATGCTGGTCATCACCCACGTCAGGTGTTCCACAGCTGTGCAAAACGAGTGTCACCTGGTGGACACACAAATCCAATCGTGTCAGCAGGCACCCGAAAAAAAAAAAAAAGGACCTGGCAGCTACAAGAAAGTCACAGGACTGTCTTTTTGCTGTTCATCATTGATTTGTTATGGCTGCAAGAAAAAGTAACATGATTTTTTAGTTCCATACATCTAGTGCAGGCTGCATTATGTTATTTTTGTGGTGTTTTGTGGTGTTTGTGCTCTTACACCACGGGTGTGAGAGCCCTGTTGTGATCACGGAGGTGGTTTCCTTGATTCCAGGAGCTGTCTACATTTGCACAGAAGACGTGTTCCCGAGTAAACGTCTGCAGCAACTCATAGACCAACAGCCCACGCTGCGGGCAGACGTTCCGGCTGAAATCATACAGAAGATCAAATTTGGAAACAGGATTTTTGTTGAGCATGCAGCAGACCTAGTAAGTAGTAGCACAAATTAAGAATGCATAATTATTATACTGTAATCCAGTAACCACGAGGGGTTTTTTTGATATAGGAGACCCTTCAAAAGGCTATAAGTGACCTAAAATCTGTAATGAATACTTTTTAATACTGTAATGAATACTTCTTAAGCTCCGCAATTTGCTGCGAGAGGACTATTACAGTGTTCTAGTATGAAAGATATTAGAAGACACAAACTTCAGGACTCTACTTTTGCCTTGTAAAGCCACATTATTGTGAAAAATGTTACTAGTGAGACTTAAAGAAAAAAAAAAAAAAGGACCTGGCAGCTACAAGAAAGTCACAGGACTGTCTTTTTGCTGTTCATCATTGATTTGTTATGGCTGCAAGAAAAAGTAACATGATTTTTTAGTTCCATACATCTAGTGCAGGCTGCATTATGTTATTTTTGTGGTGTTTTGTGGTGTTTGTGCTCTTACACCACGGGTGTGAGAGCCCTGTTGTGATCACGGAGGTGGTTTCCTTGATTCCAGGAGCTGTCTACATTTGCACAGAAGATGTGTTCCCGAGTAAACGTCTGCAGCAACTCATAGACCAACAGCCCACGCTGCGGGCAGACGTTCCGGCTGAAATCATACAGAAGATCAAATTTGGAAACAGGATTTTTGTTGAGCATGCGGCAGACCTAGTAAGTAGTAGCACAAATTAAGAATGCATAATTATTATACTGTAATCCAGTAACCACGAGGGGTTTTTTTGATATAGGAGACCCTTCAAAAGGCTATAAGTGACCTAAAATCTGTAATGAATACTTGTTAATACTGTAATGAATACTTCTTAATCTCTGCAATTTGCTGGGAGAGAACTGTCTATTACGGTGTTCTAGTATGAAAGATATTAAATGCATAATTATTATACTGTAATCCAGTAACCACGAGGGGTTTTTTTGATATAGGAGACCCTTCAAAAGGCTATAAGTGACCTAAAATCTGTAATGAATACTTTTTAATACTGTAATGAATACTTCTTAAGCTCCGCAATTTGCTGCGAGAGGACTATTACAGTGTTCTAGTATGAAAGATATTAGAAGACACAAACTTCAGGACTCTACTTTTGCCTTGTAAAGCCACATTATTGTGAAAAATGTTACTAGTGAGACTTAAAGATCCCCACACTCACTTTAGAAACTCCCTCAGCTTGTGTTTCAGCGATGGTATCTGTCGTTACAGGTTTGATTTTTACAACTAGAGTTCAATGAGCTGTTTTCATGCTGGCTGTTTGTGGTTTGTGGTAGGATACCTTCCACAACTGCATCACGAGAAGGATTTCCCTGCTGCTGGCCAGGGGCATGGTGCGCCTGGTGCTCGTGGACTCCATTGCTGCTTTGTTTCGATGCGAATTTGGCGCTTCGGATTCTGTTACCAAGGCCCGGTATTTGCAGACATTTGGAGCACAGCTTCACAGTTTAAGCACGAGATTCAGGACTCCAATAATGTGCATTAATCAGGTAGGACATCAAAATTGCTTCTCATTGTGTAGGGACCATTTAATGAATGGCTGGGGCACGGCAAATCTGTGTATGCAGATTTCCTGATGTATTCAACGCTGTCAACTGAGTACTAATGACTGATGGAAGCTGAAGTTTTCTTAAACTGGTGTATTTTAAGCTAGTAAATTTTAACTAATTAAAGTTTAAGAATATAATTTAAGCTTCTATCAGCTCTTAATGTTCTCAAAGGTTGTCCATTAAAGCTAACAAAAATAGATACGCATAGCAACTGTGCAAAGCATGAAACTAAACTAAGAGTGTTCTTTCTTAACACTACTTTCAAACACTATGGCCAGCAGGATGCTTCTGGGAGCTCTGCATGCACAGTTATATCCTACTTATACAGGAGACAGTGATATGTCAGGGACTTTGCTTCATTTCACAGAATCATAGAGATTGGAAGGGATTTCATAGAGTTCAATGAGCTGTTTTCATGCTGGCTGTTTGTGGTTTGTGGTAGGATACCTTCCACAACTGCATCACGAGAAGGATTTCCCTGCTGCTGGCCAGGGGCATGGTGCGCCTGGTGCTCGTGGACTCCATTGCTGCTTTGTTTCGATGCGAATTTGGCGCTTCGGATTCTGTTACGAAGGCCCGGTATTTGCAGACATTTGGAGCACAGCTTCACAGTTTAAGCACGAGATTCAGGACTCCAATAATGTGCATTAATCAGGTAGGACATAAAAATTGCTTCTCATTGTATAGGGACCATTTAATGAATGACTGGGGCACATAAGCACGAGATTCAGGACTCCAATAATGTGCATTAATCAGGTAGGACATCAAAATTGCTTCTCATTGTGTAGGGACCATTTAATGAATGGCTGGGGCACGGCAAATCTGTGTATGCAGATTTCCTGATGTATTCAACGCTGTCAACTGAGTACTAATGACTGATGGAAGCTGAAGTTTTCTTAAACTGGTGTATTTTAAGCTAGTAAATTTTAACTAATTAAAGTTTAAGAATATAATTTAAGCTTCTATCAGCTCTTAATGTTCTCAAAGGTTGTCCATTAAAGCTAACAAAAATAGATACATATAGTGACTGTGCAAAGCATCAAACTAAACTAAGAGAGTTCTTTCTTAACACTACTTTCAAATGCTATGGCCAGCAGGATGCTTCTGCATGCACAGTTATATCCTACTTATACAGGAGACAGTGATATGTCAGGGACTTTGCTTCATTTTACAGAATCATAGGGAGAGTGTTCTTTCTTAACACTACTTTCAAACACTATGGCCAGCAGGATGCTTCTGGGAGCTCTGCATGCACAGTTATATCCTACTTATACAGGAGACAGTGATATGTCAGGGACTTTGCTTCATTTCACAGAATCATAGAGATTGGAAGGGATTTCTGGAGATTACCTAGTCCAACCCCCTTAGATGGAACTTCCTATGTTTATTTTTGAGTAGCTCAGCATTTTTGTGTGAGATTACTTGATTGAGATTACTAAAGCCTCAGATTGCACATGAGCTGACTTGAGCTGAACCAAAAAAAGCCTACAGTGATACTAGTCCAAAAGAATATTCTTTTGGGAAAAGTGGACAAGACACTATTAGTACATAGAGCGATGCCACTGCTCTTAGTCTAATGACAGACCAAAAGAGCATGAGAAGGCTGGAGATGAAGCATTTGCACTTGGAAAGCAGCCTGAGAAAAGGGTAAGTAAAACGTGCAGGCAGGACACTGCTGGGAAACACCCTGCCATCAAATGGATAAATATTCAGCCCTGAGGTTTCCTTCTCACAGCAGAAGAGAAGGGGTAGGGAGAAAGGTTGAACTTGAGAAGTCACAAACAGGAAGAACTTTGTATCGGGAAGAAAGAGGTTCTAGAAACATCAAGCCAACTATTCATTGTTTGATTTGTTTCTGTTCCCTCAGAGGAATTCTGGGACTACAGAACGGGCAGCGTGTAAACCCTTACAGTTAGTGCTGTAACTGAAGGGAGTGTATTGAATTCATACCCAGCAGTCATTTGAACAGCTCTCAGGCATGCACAGGGTTTTATTTTCAGTAAGATTCCCATTAAGATTCAGTAGGATTTGAATTTCAGCCTCGAGTTACTCTAAATTTTTTAGCCAACTTTTTCTTACAGAATCTCTCCTAGGCTCAGCTAGCTTTTAAGGAAAACTGAGATTCCTTGTAACTGCTCTCCGAATTTTGGTATTAGTAGAGAAAATTCTTTCTCGGGGAAACACAGTTTGGCTTTTTGCTCTTGGTTAAGCAAAGGTTTGTGTGTTCCAGCATTTATATCTGAAGCGAGCCAAAAGAGTTAAGTTCCTTGGCTGGTTTCTGTGATACTTCAAGGATGGGCGTTTGGAAAAGGCTGTCTGCCTTTCTCCTGGGGGTTTTGAGGCCCCATCTAGCAGGCAAAGGAAGATCTGACTTAAGGGTAAGACAAGTCTAGACGTATCCAGTCTCTACTTTAGGACGGTTCAGCATGAGAGGGGAAAAGAGTGACTTAAGAAAGGTTCTTAGATCCACCTTCCCATGGTGGGAGCTTTAGTTGGTGGTTGCTCACACCCTGACACTGCATGACAGCAGTTTGACCACTCGCTGACCAAGGGTCCTTCAGGAGTGTGCTAATGGCAGGTGACTCACTACGTCAACTCAGTAGTTATGGAAATAAACTGTGAGTATAACAACATTGAGGAATATTATGGCTGTAAAGTAATCTGTTCTGTACATTATATTTAGAGAAGCACCTATAACTTAAGTTGTCGTGCTTTGTGAAGAGCTTGTGTGGAAGAATCCTAACGTTAACAGATAAGAGGGAGTCAAGAGGTGTGGGTTTTTCTAGGTTGTAGTCAAAGGCAAACTGCTTCATTAAGCAAAGGTAGGGAAATCACTGAGAACAGGACACCTTTTTGGAGATTTGGGCTTCAGTAACTTATCTACAGATACAACTTCGGAACAGTGGAGGGGAGGGTGGTTTTCTGTTACTTTTTTTTTTTAAACAAATTAAGCATCGAGTAGTCATTAAATTCCTATAAGCTGTAGCTAGTGAAGTAGTTGTAGCACTGTAAATTAAGATAATACTTCCCAACTCCCTTTTAGTTTGCCTTGAAAGAATACAGCTTTTCTAACCTGGCTTAATAGGTGATCCAGTAACTTGGCTTTTCTTGGCTTCCTTCCCTCCCTCCTGCTTGCTGAAGGCAAACCCATAACTACAGGTCAACTTCACATGTTGTTTTTCTGCTTTAGGTGACGGATGCAGTGAGCGAGTCAGAAGCTGCTCAGTGTGGCTGTAGGTAAGTCACCCGCAACAGCAATGTAACAGTGTGTCACACACAGCAGTGTTCAACCACCACAGCTTTTATAAAGCTGCTCAGTGTGGCTGTAGGTAAGTCACCCACAACAGAAATGTAGTGTCACACACAGCAGCATTTAACCACCACAGCTTTGGTAACTCCAATATAAACTACCAGAGCGTATGAAGAGCAGTAGTGCATTTACCCAGCACAGCTGTATTTGCTGGAGATCAGCAATAACTAATGGGCTGTGAAGGGGAAGAAACCAGCATATAATGCTTATCCTGAAACAGCAAGTTGGGGGGGAAAATTCCCTGGAGTTAATGGCTGGTGCACTTGCTTACACAAGAGTATTTTTGCATCTCTTCTTGCCTCTGATATAATCGAGTGCGTTTTCTGACCATTTAGGAAAGAAAAAACAGGAACCAAACCTTATGGGTTGATTTTGTTAGTTGCTTAAGAAAAAGAATCGAGTATCTTTTGACACCAAGATACAAGAATTATGTCTCAATCCTAAAGATAATCTTGATTTCTTAGATAAGGTAGGAGTTACATAGAAGCGCTTTTGTGAGCAGTTAGTTACATCCTCCAAATTCAGTAACTGGCAGAAAACAAGGGCAAGGTTCAATTTATATTTATTTTTTTCCCCTGGTTATCCTGCAGTTCTTTTACTAGAGCACTTTTTCCAGGAAGAAAAATTGTTTTAAACTTTAGGTAGAAAGGTGTTACATCTACCCAACGTTTAGAAATACACCTTTGAATGCAATCCAGGACCAACAGTTCCACACTTGAAATACTCAAACATACAAACGTTTTCCTATTGCTGTTTTCCTGTCGCAAGAAGGGAACCCATCAGGCTAGAGGCAGGTATTCACTGCGGCTGCAGCTGGAAGAATGACTGAATTATTTTGTATAAAAGCAGTTCTCTTCCGACTGTCACCTTGCTATAGAGAGAACCCAGTGGATAGTCTTGGAACTATACCCTGTAATCACTGTCTTTGGAAACCTAAAGAAACCTTTCTTCCAGCGTTATTTTTTTGTACCAAAATCAAGATATTTCATACTAAATGAATACATGCAGAACTGTGTAATGCTTTCTTTATAGCACGGGGGACAACAGAGTCTCTCCAGCCCTTGGAATAACCTGGGCAAACCAACTGCTCATGAGACTGATGGTCGGCCGGGTCCCACAGCCCCACCAGCCAGCTGGAGCTGCATCACACCACGCTGGAAGCCTGAGGACTTTAAGAGTCGTTTTTGCTCCTCATCTCCCTCCATCTTTTTGCTACTATACAGTCAAACTGGAAGGTGTAAAAGGAATAAAATAAATCCTCTGTATAGAAAAGCATCCTGCTCCAAAAATGCATCCGAACTACTCGCTTAGAATTTTTACTAGAATTACTAATAAAAGGAAATTGTTCCTAAATGAGACAAATGGATGTTGAAATACATGAAGGGTGATAAGACACTGCATTAAGCCTTCTCTACGTCATGAAAGAAGATCATCTTATACTTGGCTGTATGTTCATCAGCTTTCCCTCATGAGGTAAGTTTTCTGAAGGAGAGTGAAGCTGTGGAGAGGTGGAGGCTGCACAATGAAGTGGGATGTGGAAATCTCCATGTGAGGGGAGACCTGATTGCTAAATTTATTATTATTTTTAATAGCGTGCTGATCTAGAAATGGCATTTCCTGCAATCATGTTTCCAGACCTAAAGGGACTCAATTCAACCAGTTACTATTGCCTGATGGTGCTGCTGGGCCTCACGCTGCCATTAACTAGAGCCACTCCTCTATCTGCAGAGCCTCAAAAATAACACAAAGCAGCTTTGTCACAAAGCAGCCATCCGAGTTTAAAACCACTCATTAGTAATATTAGGATTAAAAAACACCAGCAAGAGACTTGATTTTTAACATTTTACTTACCATCCAGAGGCTGCCATCCCCTTGGTCTCTTTGCCCATCTCTGGAGCTGATAACCAGGTAGTTTCAGAGGAAGGGCTCTGGCTGTGATCATCCCGCTGCTCCGCTGGGCTCTGAGTCCTGCTGGCTCTGGACTCTTGATCAGCCCCTGGAACGTTCCCTCGAGTATCTTCTGTCCTTGTGTCCTTTCTGCTGAGCTCTTACCTACGCTCTGCTTCCCAGGGGCACCTTGACCTGTTTTCGCCCATCCGTGGAGCTATTACTCTTATGTTTTTGTTATTAAAGCTTTACATGTTTTCTTGCCATCTTTGTGCTTATTCAGCACATCTTTTCTTGTTGTCCTTAGACTCCTGCTAGGACGTCTGCTTTTTTTGCTGCATTCAGTGGGAAAGAGCCAGGTAAAGTTACTCAGGCACATTTTCCAAAGGCCCTAGACCTTATTTGGCCTCTGAGCAGTGTCCGATACTCACTTGTATCACGTACTTGTTAAGCTTTCAGATTTTCCCCTTCTACCTGCTCCCTCAGGTTGCACAAACAAGAAGTCTACAGTCTTATGTTATTTTTGTGTAGTTACACTGCTCAGTTCTGTGCTATGGCAAAGGAGAACCTTTTGTTCTCCACAGAATGTCTCCATGTCTCTCTAAACAGTAAAATCTCTTCCCTAAGTACAGTTTCAGAGGAACGAGGATCATCTGGTAAGAGGCAAGTCCAGACAGACTCCTTTTGTGTTCTTTGGGCACGCTCTATTAGTGACTGAGCCACCTTCTCTGCCTGGCCCCTGGTCACACCCTCCAAGGCCACAGCACCAGCTTCTGTTGTGGACACCCATGGCCAGGGAGCAGAAAGGAGCAGCTTTGTCCAGCTGGAAGCTCACTGGCAGGAGACCTCTCTGAGGACAATTAAGCATGACGCAAGGAGAAGAGACCCAGGGAGACAGGGCCTACGCCTGCCTCAGGGATGTTCTTGAGGAGAACAGGAACTGTCACGCCTTGGAGCTGAAGGAAGGGAACTCCAGGCGAGCAGAAAGGAGGGTGAGTTGCTTGCAGTGCCTTCTGCCATCCCTTCAACCACCCAAGGGGACCTTGTGCAAACAGCGTAAGAAATTGTCTCGTAAATCTTTTCTAAAATGTCTTAATTCTCTGTCTTTGAAAGTGACCGTGCTCTCTGGGGTCTTGGTTGGTTGGTTTTAATAAAGGGCAGTGATGGAACGTAGAAGCCTTTGGATGCTCTGAGGAAGCAGTGAGCTCACTGTAGCTCAGAGGCAGGGCTACCTCAGCCTTCAGATCCCCGTGTTCCACACCTCCTTCCCAACAATTTTAATTAAGATAAACTAATGCACGGTACCCAACACTCAAGCTCTTCTCTTTGTTCCTGGCCTGTGTATCTGGGGCAGGAACTTTAGCCAATCTAAACTGCAATTGCTCATCCTATTGTGCCAATTTAATTTTTAAAAAAAATCTTACCCAAGCAAGTCTGTCGTGGCCTGTGCTGGTTCTTATTGAACTCTCCTGCCAGAGCCTTAAATCCAAGGCAGAGCATGTTACAGCACATTTCCTGGCTCATCATCACACACAAACCCTAAACCTCTAAAATGCAAGTGACCCCCCCAAGCTTAGAGTCAGCAGCTCCCAGCACCTGAATGTTCCTCTGCAGCTTCTACCCCGTCTCTAGTTCCAGCAACTAAAGCACAGAACAGCTCGGGGGGGGAAACATCTGGGGATGAAGATTTCTTCATCCGCCCTCTTCGAAGCCTTGTGTCAGGAGTGTTGAAACATGTTTAAGTTTCAATAAATGCAACTGAAGAATCTTCCCTTTAGACAGTTTTATTCATCTTTGGATTTCACAACTGAGATTTGTTTCTATACAGGCAAAAAAAAAATGGAAGTAAATTTTACAAAGAAGATTTACATTCTAAACTGTATTAAGTGTATCAGCTTTATCCAGGAAGACCACAGTTAAATATTTTTCTACACTTTGCAAAAAAATGTTAAATGACACTTGAGAAACTTTTAAACAGTTTCAAATTAATCTACAGATCCGTCATGTATTTAAAGAGGCCTTTTTCAGCAGAAAGCTCCTATAGGGCTCTAGAAACGTTGCTTTGGGAAAGAAGAACCAAATTAATTTCCACTTGGTAAAGAGAAAGAATTTACACAACTGACCTCTTTCAAAACATGTAGTAAAACGCTCTAAGACAATCTCATTGCAAGTTTCTTGGTGAAATCACAGCAAATTACTACTATTTGTTACAGGTAACATTTGTGGAAGTTTATTTTCAACAAAGTCTGATGGGGCAAGACAAACAGGTGAAGGCTGAATGGGGTTTCATCCCCAGCTGTGACAAGCAGTAACTACACAGGGAGCTTAAAATTAACCATTTTTAAGCCCTGACCTCTTTCAAAACATGTAGTAAAACGCTCTAAGACAATCTCATTGCAAGTTTCTTGGTGAAATCACAGCAAATTACTACTATTTGTTACAGGTAACATTTGTGGAAGTTTATTTTCAACAAAGTCGATGGGGCAAGACAAACAGGTGAAGGCTGAATGGGGTTTCATCCCCAGCTGTGACAAGCAGTAACTACACAGGGAGCTCAAAATTAACCATTTTTAAGCCAATCTTGGAAGACTTATTTAAAAAAAAAAAACCCAAAACAAAAAACCAGACATGAAATCCACATAATAGAGCAGGGAAGGGGAGTTCTCCTGAAGAAGGATACATTGACATTACAAACAAAATAGTTCTCTGGTTTTGTGGTTGTTGGGTTTTGGTTTACAGCTTTTTAAACCAGGTCCTAGAAAACAGAAAATAGGGTTTCTGACCGCACAGAACTCATCTGGCTTAATTACACTGTAACCTGCCACCGCTACGGCCTCGTGCTCCTTCCCAGTCATTTAAACCTAAAGCCTCAGTAACTGTCCCTGCTTCAACTGGGACTTGAGTATAAACACAGGGAGCCTGCAATCTTGGAAGACTTATTTAAAAAAAAAAGAACAACAAACCCAGACATGAAATTGACATAATAGAGCAGGGCAAGGGGGGGGAGTTCTCCTGAAGAAGGATACATTGACATTACAAACAAAATAGTTCTCTGGTTTTGTGGTTGTTGGGTTTTGGTTTACAGCTTTTTAAACCAGGTCCTAGAAAACAGAAAATAGGGTTTCTGACCGCACAGAACTCATCTGGCTTAATTACACTGTAACCTGCCACCGCTACGGCCTCGTGCTCCTTCCCAGTCATTTAAACCTAAAGCCTCAGTAACTGTCCCTGCTTCAACTGGGACTTGAGTATAAACACAGGGAGCCTGAGGATCCATCTGGCTTTAAAAACCACTTCACTGTGTTTATTCTGTGCCATGTTTGGTTTTGAGTCTCTCTCACCCGTGGGTCCCTCACCTTAGAGCAGCCGGATGCTGCTTCTGATGCAGCTGAAGCCTTAAATGAACTTCCAACTACAGTTCTCTAAATACTTCCTAGTTAAAAGCAGCCATAATTAAAGAACAGTTTTGCAACTCCACTATAAACATCTTCTCAACAGCTCAGGTCCTTTGCCCTCTATCAGCCCGTGACACTCTCTTTTGCTTTTTCCTTTATTATTCTGGGCTTTTTTTTTCTTTACTTTTTAAAATTTTTTTTTTAAACTACTGACCTTGACTATTCGTCGTACTGAGAAGGGGGGAATAGGCAAATGTAGACCCTCAAGATTCCCCTCAATTCTAAACTATTAAAAAAAAAAACACATCCAAAACCAACCCATCATTTAAACCAGTACTTCTATCAGTCTGTGACAATGTAAAGTTGCTCCAAGGAAACTGTAAACTTCACGGCATCACATCTCAGAACATTTATTCTCTTGGTACAGGCCAACATTACCAAAAATGCAATTCTCTTAGCAGCTTTCAGACAAAATACGTGACCTGCAGAACAAAAACTAAAGTCTTGTAAACACACTCGGAAGGCAGCACTGCACAACCCCTGCACTACAGATTTACAACAGAACCACACCAGTTTCAAAATTACGGGATTCAAATGGTACAATTTAAGCACAAATACTTCAAATTGAAAATAATTTTAATTTACTACCGTTGAGGAGGGCAAGGGGGTGTTTGTTTTCAGGAAAGCTACAAAGTGTAGATAAGCTATCTAATTGTTTTTCCCGTGTTTAAGTTCTCTGTTCCATCACTGCAGTGCTCCAAGCGCAAACATCGAGTTATTCCTCTAAAAAAGGAGGAAATCATCAAACAGTCGCATTTTACAAGAAGATCTAAACTGCAGAACAAACCCTGCCAATATTCCTAAAGACCAGTGCAAAACCAGGGAGACAGAAGGGCAACAGGCCCCTTTCAGTAACAATTCAAGGTACAATTCATCCTACACGCGGCCCGTGCTCTGCACCCCAGAAACAGCCTCTGTTTGTAGGAGAGTCTGGAGGAACTGGCCTAATCTGGAGTCCTCCTTAAGTTGTTCATGAAGTTCCCCCTTCCAGCTCTGGGCAAGGACAAACACGCCAGATGAAAACCCAAACAGCACTAACCAAGGCTGCAGTTTTCCTAACAAAAGTCTGTCCATTTTAAAGGTCTTTTCTAGTTTTCTGTTTGCTCAGAGCTGTTGATTGAGTTCAGTACTGAAGATATCCTCTGTTTGTAGGAGAGTCTGGAGGAACTGGCCTAATCTGGAGTCCTCCTTAAGTTGTTCATCAAGTTCCCCCTTCTAGTTCTGAGCAAGGACAAACACGCCAGATGAAAACCCAAACAGCACTAACCAAGGCTGCAGTTTTCCTAACAAAAGTCTGGCAATTTTAAAGATCTTTTCTAGTTGTTTGATCAGAGCTATTGGTTCAGTACTGAAGATACCCAGGAATTCTACAACTGGGTATTTTAGTTTTATACTTTACACAGACCGTTTGCCACAACTGAAACAGAGGACATTCAGAAAGAACCTTACGTAAAAGCCAACAGAGAAGCCCACCCGAAATTTCAATGTACACAAACCACATCCTGACAGTAATTAATTCATGATGCAAACGTAAGAAGGTTGACCTTAAAAACTGGTTTTGTCCTTTACAAGTTTTTCCTCAAACTGTAAACACTCATCAGCTCATAACTGGCTGATGGCATAAGGACCTGGCTATCACTTAGGGGTTAGACATAACTGTAAGGACCTGGCTATCACTCACGCGTTAGGGGAGTCTTAAAATCTGTTCCTTCTCTGGAAATAAAAGTCATTAACCTTTTAAACGTAAGAATTGTTTAATAAGCAGTAGCTCAACAACTTAGTCTTCCAACACACTTTAAAATACTATATAAAGGCTTAAAACATATAAAAGCACAGTACTAGTAATGCCACCAACAGTATGATCCTAACGAGACAGTTCCCTCACTGTAACCCTCAACTTCCCATGGTCCTGCCTTTTAAACCTTGACTGCCACTGAAATTTGGCGCCGTTAAATTGCTTATTGCTATTTACACAAGTTGGTGGTTGAGGGATTTTTTTTGAGGAAGGTGGCAAAAATAATTTTCCTTCAAAATTGAAAGGTGAACGTAGAAAACGCGTTCTTCAATTTAAGTAATTCCTTGCGACCAAAATCAGTTTTGAGTAGTTTTGTGGGGGTTTTGGAAGTCAGACTTTGGGAATGGTCCCCGAGTGAAGCAGGGAGCCGCACAGAGCCGTGTGTTCCCCGGCCCGTGGAGCTGCTCCTGCAGCAGCAGCACCATCCTGGTGTCCAACAGCTTCACTGCCAGGGGTGGCTGCTGCAGGAACGTCCCCCGGGGGGCTGCTGGAGGGACGGGTGACACCACGACAGGCTGTGACACCAGCATCCACCCAGCTCAGCAGCCCCACGTCCAGTTCTTCATGCAAGGCTAGCTCTGACTTTGTGCAGGGAACCCCGTTCACCCATGGGTGCACACAGCATGGTTTAGGGGGAAAAAAAAAATATATATATATTACGTATATTTTTATATAAAAAGCTCTTAATAAAAAGATTAAAACTCAAGAGTCTACATTATATGAGTACATATTGCTAAGATAACCGAGCAACAACGTGTTCTTGCTCGAGTTCGTTAAGGAATTGCACTACTTACTCTGTGCTAAAACACCTAGATATTAGCAGCATCACGTCCCACCCATTCCAGCCCGTCCCTGGAGCAGGCACACCACAGCAGCGCTCCTCAGGGAGACGCTGACCAGGTACCTCCCGGTAAACATGGATCAAGTGCATCACACCTACAACTGCCTGCATCGGGTACTGGCAGCACAACTCCAAACCCCATGCAAAGCCAGTCAAATACTTCTACAAAGTACTAATTCTAATGACTCTTCACAGCCTGTTCAAGCGCTAAAACTTGCTCATGTCCCTGTCTTTTACCTCCTCCAGCCGGCGCTGACCTTGAATGAATATTCCAGCTTTTTTCCCCAAAGTGAATTTCCTTCGGCATTTTCCAGCTCACAGCTATGACCGCAAACACATTTGTACACACACGTTGGTTTGTTTTTTTACTTTCTCATCCAACTTCACACCAATAAGAATTTTTTTACAAAAATGAACAAAATTACAAGCTTTACAGAAAAGCAAAAGGAAATACTAGTGTCTATAAAATACTTAAAAAAACCATACATACTTAGTTCCAGCAGCAGTCCTGTACACGGACAGCGTATGTATTAACCAGAAGTAGGTTTAACAGGGATGTGTGGTCAAACGAGTTACTTGCCACCTGTGGCCACCTCGTTGCTTCCACCGGGGCCCTTGAGAGGCGAGTGGTCCTTTGCAGAGCAGCTCCTCCGCAGCGCAACAGCCCGAGCCTGCTGGCCTCAGCCCTGCCGGAGAACGGCGTCAGGAAACGTCGGAGCACTTTCAGCAGAGAATGGGATTGTGAACTCCAGTGGACAAGCAAGAAAGTCAACCTGAGGCTTGATGTTTCCCTACGAGCAACAGCTGCTGCTCCGGGGAGAGTTGCAGTCCAAAACTTCAGTATTTCTCGACCGTACAAGGTAAAGGTCGGAATATTTTCCATTTCTCCTCATCAACCTGAACCATCTGATCTCCCTCCATCGTTGTGCCCTAAGATTTCTATCGACAAGTATCAAAGTTGATGGTCACGGGTATGGGTACTGGTGCTACCTCTATGGAACGTCACCCCGACCATCTCTCCTGTGACACTGAGTAGCTCAGTCTAGTGGTTAAGGAAGCCGTCTCTAAGTGCCGTTTTGCCAGCGAAGGTTTCTAACGTGACAATAATCCATGGTGCAAAGGGCAGCCCCAGCAGTACAGTATGCTCAATTGGGATTTATACAGTAATGCACATCAATTTATCCTTTTCTCATTCCAGCACTGTATATATTTACTGCTACACGTCTAATTTCGCCTGCGTTTTCAAACATCTTTGCATTTTGGTCTGCTTTAAATATGTTTGTATTTTTACTTTTTTTTTTTTTGGCTGCTGTAATATTCAGATCTATTAAAGAAATCAATGTAAGTAGCATGAATGGGAGCAGTGCAATGAGCAATATTTATCTATAGAGATTTCCTTTAGAAGAAAATACCCACTAATGCTGTGTTTAAAATCATTCCTATTTAGAAAAGTAAAAACAGCAGTCTATTGGAAAAAAAAACAAAACC